GCCCAGGTTTTACTTGGAAGAGAAAACTTCACTTGTTATGCTCCATGAACCACTGTATCTGGCACAGTGAGTAACCTGAGAATTTTCTCTGATTTGACACTGTGTTGGATAGCATATTAGAGTTTGTATGTACTCTAATATGATGTCAAAAAGGTCACTTATTGGGCATTTGCGCTGGCCCAGTTGATGGTGTGAGGACCTGAAATTGGCCACCCCAAGATATGTCTCTTTGGCATCAGGATTATTTGAGGCTGATTGCTTTTGATAAACTGGGACAGGGAAGGAGGCTCTGAGGAATGGAACTTGCCCTTCCTTAGGACATATTTACATTTGTAAGGTAAATCTCTATCTGTAAAGGTGCCTCCCTCTCTGTACCAAGAAGAAGAAAGGAGATGACCTTCTCTCTAAAAACTCTTAATCAATACCAAAGGCAAGGACTTAAAATCTGCATTTTATTGTGCTTGTCTGGTAACCTCCTGTAACTAACTTCCCTCCGCCTCCCAACGCTGGCATTTCTTTAAGGATTAAGCATCTATCCTTAGGCTAGGAACTGATTGCTGTGCTCACCTGTGACCGCCCAGCTCCAGACATAGACTTGCCTCCTGCTACACCCACCGAGATAGCAGACCATTACCTGCTGTGTCCATCAAGCACTGTGCCGACAGGGCAATCTTGTGACTATTGTGGGAGGGACATTTCAATCACATCTGAAACACCCTGTTTGGGGGTATATAATCACTCTGTGCACCCCACTTCTTCGGTGCCCTTTCTTCCTTCAGGAAGAAAGGCCCCGGGCTATGGTTCCTCATAAAGCTTTGTTTAATTTTCTCTTGCTATTCTGTCTCATGTGAATTTAATTCGTTCTCCGGCCAGACGAACCCCCATTTGGGAAGAGGAAATGTCTTCCTCCCCTACAATGGATTGGTGGTCGCAACTGGCCTGAACTGGACAAGAGGTCTCAACTTCCTGAAAAACCACTCTTACTTACTCCGTTGATGAGATTGGATCAGTTGAACTCGTCCTAGAAGGCTCTTGGTTACAGAGCTATTTAAAATAAGTAGTCCTTTTTCTGTAAGACTACTAATTAGTTTTGTTTTTTATTTGACATATACATTTCTGATTGCTCTTTTTTTTTTTTTAAAGAAAAATGCAGGTTTAACTTTCAATTGGAAATGTGCTTTTTTTTTTTTTTAAAGAGAAAAAGAAGAATGTTTCATGAGCCGTCTGGTGCGTGTGTTTCTTCTACTTACTTTCCTCTCTCACTGCTGGCCAAGTTTTTTCTCTGCAGGGAAACCTTACCAGGATGCTGAACCTTATCCAAAGAGAAAAGCAGTAACCTTTCAAAGGCTCAGTGGTTGGTCTAATCAAGGACACACAGCCTTTCTCTTGGATTCAGTTGACCTTTTTTTGAAACTTAAGAACTTAAATTTATTTGTTTAGTTATTTGATATGTAAAAATAACCCCAAACATTTAAATAACTCATGTTAAGGAATTTCTTTCACACATCAAGTGGCAACTAAATTATTCAAGTATTTTGAATCATCTTGCTGTTTACTCTGCCAAAATTCTATGTTAAGATTCACTAAAGCCTATGGTTGATAGCTATGGGTGTGAGAAGACAAAATTTTAGTACTTGCTAGCATGCGTCACTGATCTTCTTAGGTACCTTGATTTTGCTAATTATTTTTTAAAATCAGGAGCAAACCATTGATATAGTTGGGAATCTTTATTTGCAAGCAACAGAAATTGCTTCTCAATAAGTTAGACAAGAAAAAGGGAAATGAAGGAAAATGAGAGGGGCTGAGGAAGGCAGGATTTAGGCGAGCCGCGGTGAGTTCCTCCTCAGGAGGGTTCCTGCAGGAAGATCTTCTCCCAGTTTTGGCAGCAGTTCTCAGATTGGCTTGCCACGCTTTCCACAGGGTGTCTTTTGGAAGTTTGGGGCTGCTTTTCTTTTCAGGTCCATTGGAAGCCCAGGTGCCTTCTTGTTTTTTTCCCACAAAGATGCTGATTTAACTCAAGTCTTGGAGCTGTTAGTATTGTTTTCTGCTCACCCATATTTTTGGGTTTGCTGTAGATGTTTTCCAGGATGGGGAGGGATGGTTAGGTTTTGCTATTCTATTTGCTCTGTCATTTTTTATGGGGAGAGTTAGGAGATTAAAAATTATATTACTGCAAGGTCTGGCCCCATGGCCGAGTGGTTAAGTTCACGCGCTCCACTTTGGCGGCCTGGTGTTTTGCTGGTTCGGACCCTGGGCACAGAGATGACACCACTCGTTGGGCCACGCTGAGGTGGCATCCCACATGCCACAAGTAGAAGGACCCACAGCCAGAGTGTACAACTATGTACTGGGGGAGTTTGGGGAGAAAAAACAACAACAACAAAAAAATTGGCAAGAGTTGTTAGCTCAGGTGCCAATCTTTAAAAAAAAAAAAAAATTATATTACGGCTGTCATTTCTCCAGAATTCTCTTGTTTGTTTTTAACTCTCTACTGAATCCATTTTCTTCCTAGTATTTGTGGCTTTTCTCTTTTCTTAAATAATCTTGTAAGTTTGTTGATGTAATTAATTAGTCTTTCTGGCTTTGTTTTTCCTCTGTGTTTTATTTCATTTTGTATATTTGTCTTACTGTTATATTTTCTTACCTTATGTTTTCCATTATTTTTAAATGTAAATTCTTGATTTGCATGTTTAACTCATTTATTTTCAGTTTTTCTTCTTTTGTTTCTTGGTGAGGAAGATTGGCCCTGAGCTAACATCTGTGCCTGTCTTTCTCTATTTTGTATGTGGGATGCCATCACAACATGGCTTGATGAGTGGTATGTAGGTCTGTGTCCAGGATTGGAACCCGCAAACCCTGAGCTGCCGAAGCCAAGCGTGCGAAGTTAACCACTATGCCACTGGCCGGCACCAGTTATTCTTCTTTTAACATAAACATTTAAAACTATAAATGTCCTTGTATTACCTTTGATTTATCTTATAAGTTTCTATATAGCTTTTCATTATTTAATCTGTTTTCTAATTTTCATTGTGATTCTTTGTTCCTTGAATTATATAGAAATATGCTTTTAAATTTCCATACGCATGAGATTTTACTGGGTTTCTTTTTGTTACTGATTTCTAATTTAATTCCCTCATGGATAGAGAAAATGATTTAGGTGATATTGATTTGTTGGTATTTTTGAGATTTGCTTTGTGGCCTAGGCCGTGGCCACTTTTTGTAAATGGCTAGTAGGTGCTTGAAAAGAATATGTGAATACATATTCATATACCAGGTGCAAGGGTCTGTGTATTGTATGAATCAAGTAAATTATAGAGCTCCTGAAGCTTTATCTGCTTGATCTATGAATTCCTGGAAAAGACTTTATATGTTTTCATAGTCATAACTAACACTTATATGGTACTTACTATATTCTAGGCACTGTTTTAAGGGCCTTATATGTATTAACTTATCATATATTGTTCATTTTCTTCCTTCTGGATCTGTTGTTTGCACTTTATATATTTTGAGACTGGGTACATTTGTTCTTAGGTACCTAACGCCTGGTGATTGGAGTCTTTTGTCATTGCATATTGACCTTTTTAAATCTCTAATAATATTTTTAACCCTAAAGTCTCTTTTTTTTCTGATATTGATATAGTTAACACAGGCTTTTTTCTAGTTAATATGTGCCTGGCATATTCTTTTCATCCCACCTTTGTATGTCTTTTTATTTGAAGTGTGTCTCATAAATAGCCTGTGGATGGATTTTGTTTTTCTCCAGTTTCATCCAAGAGTGGTCGTATAGCATGATGATTAAAAGTGAGAACTTTAGGGCCAGGTTGCTTGGGTTTGTGTTGTTGTCTGGGATGTTGATATCTGGCAGCTACAGTTCTATACTTGTGGGTGGGAAGCGTTTTGACTTTTCTTTATTTAGACCTTTAACCTCTCCCCGTGTTTTATGTCTCATATCTCACCTCTTGTCTTCCAGGGGTGAGGTATCTAGTGTATTCAAGTTCTGATTCTCTATAGGATTCTGTTCTTACCCTTTCGATCTCACCTGCTACGTGTACGTTATGGTGTGTTTTCTTAGTTTGCTCTACTCAATCTACTTTGTAATCTCTTGAAAATGTATTGAAGTATCTCAAAAGTGGGCATAATCAGACTGCTTACTTATAGGACTGTTTGAAGTTAAGTGTGAGTCAATAGATGTAAAGAACTTTGAACAGAACCTGGCACATCAGAAGTGCTTAGAAATATTTGTTCTTATTATGTCATAGGGTTAAAATTATAGTTTGATTTTTAATGCTCTTGGACATCTTTAAAGTATCTGTAGTCCTGTCTGTTGTCATTGTTAATTTTATCATCATATTTATTATTTTTATTTTGTAATTCAAGTTTTTGTTCATTTTGCATCTTTTCTTACTCAGGTGATTTAGAGAGACATAATTCTGGAGCATCTCAATTTAGCATGTCTAAAGTAGTAATTGAATTTAATGGAATCTTAAAATCATTTCCCAGAAGGTGTCTATTCATAATTAAACTATGTAAGTTAAGATTTATAAAATTTTTGTATTGGAAGGATATAGTATAGTTTCACTAGTTGGTGGACTGGATTCTGAATGTCATTTGAAGAGATTAAAATCTTACAAAGTGAAACTTTTTGTCTAGCTAGGAATCTCTATTTTAATTGAATTTATGGTAAAAAGAACATTGGTGATGGTTGCACAACAATGTGAGTGTACTTAATGCCACCGAACTATACACTTAATGGTTGAAGTGGTGAATTTTATGTTATGTATATTTTACCACAATTAAAAATAAAGAACATTAGTTATTATGTACATGTCTCATGTTGAAGGTGAAAGAAGATATTCATCAGTGTGAAATCTAAATCTTAAGGGACCATAAAGATGGAGTGAGCAGAAATTATTTGCGTCAGTATGTTGGTTTGTTGTCTTTCTTCAATCACGTGTATGGTTCTCACTAATTTCCTAATGTGAAATTTATTTTTATAACAGGAAGGAAAAGCTGATGCGATGTTCTCAGTGCCGAGTTGCCAAATACTGTAGTGCTAAGTGTCAGGTAAGAGTGTTTAGCTGCGCATAAGCGAAACCTTCAAGTTCTCTACTCTTAAATTTGTCCTCCGTTATGCCTGTTGGCCTATTTCTGTTTCTTCACAGTCTTTGATTTATTTTAACTTGTTATTTTTCTTCAATTAAAAAATTAATATATGTATATGGTAAAAAATTATGTATATACTATATATAAAATTTATATATATCGTGAAAGAAAAGTAAACATTTACTCCTCTCCCATCTTTTTGTCTTCCTAACCTCAGTCCCATTTCCCAGAGATAACCACTGTTAAGTTTCTTCTGTGTCTTTCCAGCATTTTCTTGTGTGAATACATTCATATATGTATATCCTTTGTTTAGAAAAACAGATGTAGGTTATTATGGTACATATTCTTGTGCACCTTGATTTTCTTTTTCATTTGATAATCTATCTATAGGAACTTTTTATATTATCCCATTTATTTCATTTTATGAATGCACCACAATCATAAATTCCCCATTAATGAATGCTTAAATTTTTTCCAATATTTGGTATTGCCAGTAATGTACCAAGCATCCTTTTGTGCGCATTTTTGCATACTTCTGCAAATTAATTGTAGGATAAATTCTTCCCAGTTGTATCAATTGGTAAAATAGTATTTGCATTTTAAATTCTTAAAGATAATGCCAAATTGCCTTCCAAGAGTTTGAGTTAATTTACAACAACCAACAGTCTATGAGAATTTTTGAAATTATTTAAAGGATGCATAATTAACATTCAACATGACCTTTCTTCTAACCTTCTGATTAATCATTTAATAAGAAATGTAATTATGCTCTAATGAATTGTGTCATAATAAAAGTCTAATTGGAGGTGGTGTGTCTGTTTCATTTGCCCCCCAAGTACCACTCATCCTTCTTGTTTCTTATTTTGGGGTCTGTGTGTATGCATGTGTGTGCATACACCCAGGGTTCCTCCTTTTCTTCTTTTAAATGTAGGCCATGCTTATCTGAGGGATTTTCTGCTATCTTACTTTTTCCTTTGAAAGTAATTTCTCCAAACTATCAATAGAGTCGTCTTAACAGAATAGAAAGCAAAACATACAAAAAAGTCACAGGACCCAAGTTCTAACGACACTTCTGCCATTAGCTAGTAAAATTATCCCAGAAACTCTTTGGGCCTTAGTTTCCTAATCTGTACTACTAATAAGAGCTAATATTTAATAGATGTTGAGTATGTGCCAGGCACTATTTTATTCTGTGTACTCTCGTAAGTAACTTCAGAGGATTAGGTATTGTTTTTGTGCTCATTTGACTAATTAGGAAACTGAGGGATAGAATGGCAAGCAACCTGCCAAACATCCAACAGCTTGTAGGGTCTGGAGTTTGGGAAATGAACCTAGGTAGTCAGAATCCAGACGTTTAGTTTCTCTTCTAACTCTAAATTTTATTCTTGCTGTAACATTCTAGTAGGTGTAGTTTTCCATTTTCTATTGTATTCTCCCCTTTTTTCCTGGCTTTTTGTTTTATTTTATTTTTAATGCGGATACATTCTATCCTCTAGGAACACAAAACAAAAAATACAAAAATAGAAGTTTAGAAATACCACTTTCCTAATAAAAATAAGGAATGTGAAAAGTAATTGAATTATTTTTACCTCATTTTGTAAACCAAAAATTCTGTTAGAGTTTGAAAGATACCAGATTTATGTAAGATCAGTAGCAATAATGATAACAAAAAGCAAGAAATAAAAACAAATACATGCTTTTTCTATAATATAAATTTTAGAAAGACTGTTCTGTGGTGATGTTTTTTAGCTAGTTTATTCATGTGAAACTGAGCTACATGTTTCAGGGAACTTCATGTTAAGAAGACTACATATAGAACTGGCCAATTACCATATTTCTTGACACAAATGTTCTAGATGAATTTCTATTCTCAGTGATTCAAACGTTTACTTTTATTTTCCCCTGTTTTTTCCCCAATGCTGCTGCTTCATTTTGTAGTACACTCTAGGAAAAAGAAAACCCATTATTGGATTAGAATGAATAGGGGGAGTTTGGTAGGTGGGTCTGTCATTTTGATTCATGATAGTGCATGTATTTTTACCACATACATTAGCTGTTTACTGTAGCATCAGTAAAATGCCATCGTCAGAGACACTGTAGAAGGTAATGGGAAAATAGCCAGTTAGGAGAAAGATAGCATATATAACACCAGCCAGTGCATATGCTTGCTTGTATTTGGAGGATGGGTGTGTGTGTGTGAAGGTGGGGTGGGAGTCAGAGATTGGCCAGAACATATGCATTTAAACTGCTCTGTTTAGCTCAACTTTAAGGTACAGCATTAAACATTGTAATTATTGTGGATACCTACAAAGCAGGACAAAATTAAACTGACAAACCAAACTATGAACAGTAATGAACAGGAGGCAAAAGCACTTGGAATGGAAATTGAAGTCGAGGATGTAATTTGTAGCATAAAATCTATAATATGTTTAGCCTAGGGGGATATATCTTTGGTTCACTAGCATAGATTTGACATGTGGGGCCGTGGCATCTGTTGTCTGCGAGAGACTGTTGAGGTATTATAGGGTATAATGTCCCTTGTGCCCATAAGCATGGTATCAGTGCCATTGGTTTTCACATTTCATTTTAAACATAAGCAATACAAGGATACATTTGCATTATAAAAATTAAAACAATATAGAATAAAATGTAAAGGTTTTCCTCTAGCTTCCTTACCCCATTCCTAGTACTACTTTCCAGAGGTAATGTCTGTGTGTTTGTTGTCTGAGTGGAGGATACAAACCAAATCGTTAGTCTGTGCTTCATATAGTGTGTGTGTGTATATGTATATATTTACTCCTGTGTACAGTACTATTTACTGCTGTGTACAGTACTGTTTCTGATACTGATCAATATATTTTGTCGTCAGGTGCTGTGTATTCCTCTATATATGCCTTATTATGAGGTATCATATAATATAATAGAGGGATTATATATGGAACCAGTCTTATTTCTATATTGGCATAATCAAAGCATCACAGATGATTATGAGATCAAAGAAGAGGAGCAGGCTAAGTTTTCTTATAAAAAAGCATCCTCAAAATTTGCAATACTGAAAGCAAGTTAACCAATTTCAAGCAAGTTTACCAATTATTATTTCACCTCTGCTAGATTTAATTTGATTCATAATATCTACATTTATAACTGGATTAATTGCTAAGCAAAATAAGCGGCTGGGTACTGCATCAAATTGCAGTTTATATTCTTTTAAAGAGTACTATATTAACAGAGAGAGGCTCTATTTTATGTTGATAATTATAGACCTCTTTAAAAATGTGAATCATATTTTTGGGTTTACATTTTATGCTTAGCTGTAGAATGATTTGAATCATTTTTGATGAATCCCACATTAGTAAGCACTTATGAGGGTGATTTAATAAGTTGGTTTCTAGAATTATCGTACTCAAAGTGGTGATAATGAAGAAAGCCAAGCCCTTTGTTATCGACTGATAGGAGATGCACAGAGCGTTCTGTAGAGAAATTGGCTTCATATTTAATTGTAAACAAAAAGGGAATAGTGTATAAACGTTAAAATTATTTGATGATATTTACATTTTCGATTTCTACAAAACATCTGGGGTCCTGAGATTTTCTTTTGTTACTTTACATTCACCTGCTGACTGATTGTGTCCACTTCCATGACTTCAGTTGGCATCTGTATATTAATCCTTCTTGAGACTCCGTCTCCGGCCTCCTGCCTTTTCCTGAGCACCAGACCCATATCTTACAGGCACTTCCACCTGGCTGTTGCACGGGCATATCAAGTGCTATGTATCTAAACCTGAGTGCATTTTCTTCCCCCATACCTGCTTTCCTTCGTGTTTTTCAACCTCAGTGAATAATTTTACCACTCAGCAGTTTGAGTTGTCAGGGTGTCTTCATCTCTGATTTATATCTTTCCTTGGCCCCACATCCAGTTAGTCACTATGTCCTGCTGGTTTTACCACCTAAAGTTCTGAATGGTTTCACTTTTCTCTAGCTTTTCTACCACTACTTTTGTATGTGTTACCATGATCTCTCTCCTGGATTAACTACACTCTTGCCAGCTTTTATTCTATTTTATACCCTGGAGCTGGGGTGATTATTTTATTCTAGATGTAAACATGATCTGTCATTCACCAGCTTAAAACCCTGGCCCTCTTTTCACTCAGGAGGAAATTCAAACTCAACGTCTTTGCCACACTTTTACTTCTGGGCCTTTGGCTACATAAATCCTTGGGCCTGGACCCAGACCTCTCCCTATAACCGCTGAACTTCTGTTTATCCCTTAGAACTCAGATGAAATGTCAGTCCCTCCTTCCCTAAACCCCTGAGAGTAGTTTATGTCCCTCCTTTATGATACAGAAATTTAATTATCTTAATTACTGGTCTCATTGCCTCTTCTGCATGTGGATGGTCAGGCGCCTTGATCAAGGGTGTGCTCTGTGTGGTGTTCTCTGCTGCAGATGGAGCATAATTTGTTGAGTGTATGAATGAATACATTCATTAGTGGTACTTGTTGGTTTGAATTAGATTTTTAAAAATTACGTTATCTCTAAATAATCTGTCTATAATTGTATTTCTGTTTCCTTTTTTTAGTTGAAATATGATTGATGTATAACATTGTATTAGTTTTTTTTTTTTTTAAAGATTTTATTTTTCCTTTTTCTCCCCAAACACCCCCGGTACATAGTTGTATGTTTTTTAGTTGTGGTTCCTTCTAGTTGTGGCATGTGGGACGCTGCCCCAGCATGGCTTGATGAACGGTGCCATGTCCGCGCCCAGGATCCGAACCAGCAAAACCCTGGGCCACCAGAGCAGAGCGCGCGAACTTAACCACTCAGCCATGGGGCCGGCCCCAAAGACCCATAAAACTTTTAGAAGAAACCTTAGGAGAAAATTTTTGGACCTGGGGTAGATAAAGTTTCTCAGGCGGGATACAGAAAGCACCTATCATAGAAGAAATATTGATAAACTGGACT